ATTTTTTGACATGGCTTATTTGTAACGATTTTATCGAAAATCAAATTATTTTTCAATCGTTATTTTAGAAATTATTGCTACACATTTCTACAAGGTTTTGTAAGCACCGATATTTTTTATACGCAATTGCGACATTTTAATTTCAAATCCCACATTTAAATTACATAAAATTTTGATGGACTTTATTTACTCCAATTTCATCTGAAATATAAAAGTATTTTGGTTATTGTTTTAGTAGTTATTACGATTTCCCCTTGATTTAAAAAGATTCTGATATTTTTAATACTATGGTTTGACAGCAAGCGAGTTTTGAATCGCGCATTAAAATAATTATTTTTTACGTACTCTGTTTGTGCCGATTTTAACACGTAATTTTTAAGAGGTTTTACGAACGTGTTTTTTCTTCTTTCCCGTTATTGCTGCATTTTTATTTGTGATTTTGAATATACCTGATATTTTCACATATTACAACTCGTGAAATTCGATTCAGTTTTAATTTTTTTTCGTGACTTAAAAAGTAATTACGTATCTTAGCCAAATCAACACCTTCCCAGGAAAAAAAAACGAGATGTGTTTATATTAAACGCGGTCCGTTTTGCAAAAAAAATAATTAAAAAAACGGCATAATTCTTTAGTCCCATGAACACGTGCAAGTTTAACAACACACATCGAACCTATTCTTTTTGTTGTCACATGTAATTTAAAAGTCATACATCGTAATTTGTATTTATGCTATCTGAAAATTGCGCATCGCATTTCGTATCAACATTAACGAGATTTAAAAATAATCCATCGCATTTCGTATTTACGGGATTCAAAATCACATATCGCAATTCGTGTTCTGGCGTTTAAAATATCATCCGTTGCTACTTTTCTAGCAATTCATATGCACGCGTTTTAAAAACCATATATCGCGATTCATATTCATGCATTTTAAAAATCAAGTGTTGTGAGTAGTCCTTTCGCAATTTAAAAGCTACATGATTCGTATTCACGCGATTTGAAAAACAAGCATCGAGTTTTTTATTTACGCAATTTAAAAATCACACATGGCAATTCGTATTCAAGCAATTAAAAAATAACACATCGCTATTTGTATTTCCGCGATTTAAAATCCCAGAAAGGAAGAACACCATCTAGGACAAATTCCAAAACTGATTAGGGGAGAGGGGGGCACATGTGAACATAGTATGGTTTACCAATATGATTTGAAATAAAAAATCTTGAAAAATTTTCAATTGATGGCAGTACTAGTCCTACCTCTCTACAAAACTTTCAGATCAATGAGACATTTGGTTGTTCTATTCTGACAATTTCTTTGTATCAGCTGGGGTTGTATATACTTTTATCACTCACTTCTTCAAGTGAAAACATAGTATAAATCAACTAATAAGATAAAATTAACTATTGCAGACCATTATATGAGCATTCAGGTAAGTTTATGACAATTATTTTTTTTTCTTTACTCAATTAAAAATTCTTTATTTTTGAAGTTAGGTTTAAGAAGGATGATGGAGCACTTGTGAACAAAACATCAGGGGCAGATATGAACAGTTCACATGTGCCCCTACATAGTATTAAGATTATTATCCTCATGAGATTATAAGTTTAAAAAATATGCATGCATTTAAAATTAATATTATTTAATTTTCCATAATTAATTTATTAATTTTTTTTAATATTATTAAATGGTTGATCGCGCATCACGCATATTAACAGATACATCTGAGGAAGATAGAATTGCTAAAGCTACAAATGAAAAGATAGAAAAAATGAAAAAAAAAAAAGCATGAGAGAGTATTAGAGAAGAAAGAAAAAGGCCCATTACAACTTCTGAGGAACATGAAATTGCGAAAAACTCAACAGAGGAAAAATTATCGTACAGCTGAAAAATTATTTTCGTATTGACAGTATTGCTGTACGATTTAAATTCACATAGTAAGCTACAACCCCTTCAGTATAATGCATATCTTTATCTGTTATATTAAAGATTTTTTTTCTTTGAAATATGATGATTGCTTTGTGTTTTTAATCTTGCTCATAAGTGCCCCAGGCATGTTCATATGTGCCTCCAATAGGGGCACATGTGAACAATTGAAGTCATTTTTCTAAAATATCATAAAGTAAAGAAATATTTTATTGAAAAATCTCAAAAAATTCCACAAGACAAAGAAAACACTGTTTAAACACATGGACTTCTTTACTGCGAGAAATTGATGATATTTTTTGAAAAATGAAGAAATAAATTTTTTTTTTCACATGTGCCCCCCTCTCCCCTATATTATTTGCTCTAAGTTTAATACTACCCACAACAACAGCTTCTGTCGAAAGACTGTTTTCCAGAATGAATTTGGCCTGTTCAAAATTACAGAGTAGTCTTTAAATACAATCATTACATTTTCATTTAATGGCTCAAAAAATATCACATGATCAAGTAGATAAAATTATCATAATATTCAAAAATTTTGCAAATTACAGTATAACCATTAAGAAATTTTTTAAACCATTTTCTACCTTCTTGGAGCATTTTATATCATTTATGATTATATGCTGGGAAATGATTTGTATATCATTAAATTTTAACTGTATAAAAAATTTAATCAAGATAAGTTTCGTAAAGTAATGTAAATTTTATTGATTGTGTATTAATTGTAAATAGTAAGTGTCATGTTAAAAATATATTCGTCATAAAAAGTTGTAAACAAGTATCTTAATAGTTTTTTATTATTAAGGAATATAGTTCC